CCCTCGGGGGAGGGGACGCTCCATCCGCAGACGGTTCAGAGGATCTGGGAGATCTTAGGCGAGGCCGAGGTGGACCTCTTCGCCTCAGAAGACAACTCTCATTGCCCAATCAATTTCTCAAAGACCAGGGACGCGTTGGCCCACGATTGGCCCGACCTCCTTCTTTACGCTTTTCCCCCGATCGCTCTGATCCCACAGGTAATCAGGCAAGTGAGGGAACGAGAACACAGGGTTCTCCTGGTGGCCACCCTTTGGATGAACCAGCTGTGGCTATGGGAGCTAACTCAGCTATTGATAGCGGCCCCTTGGCCTGTTCCGCTGAGACAGGATCTCCTCTCTCAAGCGAACGGGTGGCCAGCTGGGCCTCGCCGTCCACATTCGCAGGGTTTTATAACCTGGAAGTCCCGGACTTGCAGGCCAGGGTCCTTTCCGCTTGAAGTGACATGCACTGCGTAAACAGATCTGGCAGAGAGCCCTTGGCCGTATCACGCTCAAGCTCTCTGGCATTAGTTCACCTGTTAGCTCTCAACCCCTGGGTGATGAAGTTACAGGAGTACTCTGGAACGATTAACCAGGTATCGAAAGGGAACGTACTCGGTTACTAACATAACCTCGGTTCCCTGAGATACGGGAATGAGTACTGCGTTGCTAGGAAGTTTTATACCTTTAGTCGTTCCACTACATTAGCATGGCGTGATTGTACTGTGGTCCCATATGTGTCTAGTAGACGCAGTACGAGTGTAGTATCGAAAGGGAACGTACTCGGTTACTGACGTAACCTCGGTTCCCTGAGATACGGGAACAAGTACTGCGTTGCTAGCCGTGCTATGTAGCTGCACGACTTCAGCCGAAGTAACCTGAGAATCCTGTGGCGAACGCCCGCTTATATAGCCAGACGCCCCGCCCATTCTGGCGGGCTTTGGCAGGCTTGGCGGGCTTCGTCGCCATAGGCTTGTGCAGCTCCGCTGCCTAATCATTGGTTTGTACGTTTTTTAATACACTGCACGAACCACTGGACATGCAGTTTCACTGCGTGAATGAAAAAGGCTTCAGTTCAGGAGAAAAAGGCTTTTTTCCCATATGCGTCTAGCAGACGAAGTACTCGTTCCCATATCTCAGGGAACCGAGGTTACGTTAGTAACCGAGTACGTTTTTCTTTTATTTTTTGAGCCTAAGAGCAGTTTTCTTGCTAAAGCTTTGTGTAGGAAACAAGCATTTAGAGATACAGCATTCTAATCAAGAGCAGGTGTAGGTGGACATGAAGTCAAGCCAGACACTAGCTGGGGAAAATCTGATTTCAAAGTTAATAATAATAAAAAGAGAGAGGGGGGAATGTAAGAAGTTCCACAAGGCACACAATTTATGGATTGTTAATCTGTTATATATGTTAAATTAATCTGGTATAAAAGAAGCAGTTCTAGTGTCTTATTTTAGACATTTATTTTATCTGATTGCCAATTTTTTAGATGGCATTCATAAGGTGTAATTATTTGGAGGTGTAAGGTGTAAATAATGTGGAGGTATGTGTATGAATGTGTGTCTCCATGATTTCATGTCAAAGTGTGCTTTAGGACAACATTCAATTTTTCTGAACCAATGTATCCTCTTTATTGCTTATGAAAGATCATGTTCAAGTAAAACCTTCTGTTTCTTCATGAAATATTGATGATGTTCATTGGGGTGGCTAAGGTGTGTTGATGCAGCATTGGTACATCCCCTAGGCCAGTGGTCGCCAACCCGTCGATCGTGATCGACTGGTAGATCTTATCACTTTCCCAGTAGATCCCGAAAAAAAAAAGTAAAATAAGTACAAAAATGCATTACATTTATGGGGTTATATTAATGTATCACTGAAGGGAACTGTCTTGAGAAAAGTTTCGATGGCAATGGCATTTTCTTCTTAAGCAGTGTTGCCAAGTCCGCGGTTTCCCGTGGAATTGGGCTACTTAACACTGTTGCCGCGGGTTGTTGTTCATGTCCGCGGGTTGAAGCGACCCCAATAATGTGATATTTAGTCCCTGGAATGTGAATTTTACTGGAAGATCTCCGCCGAAAAACATGTATTTTACCCCCGGAATGCGATTTTACAGGGGAACCCCCCTCCAAACACGATTGGACTAGTTTTATTGCGAAAACCTGGCAACCCTGTTCATAGGCGCCACCTGCTGTCAGAGAGAGCTTTTCATTCAGACCTGCTGTTTTTGTTTCATGCAGATGTTTTAAGTAGCAAATAAATAAATAACACCTAAAGTCAGACCATTCTGTTTTTGTTTTAAATCCTGAAATTAATCTAAATCAAATCAAAAACAACTGCCCGTGCAGATCATGATTAAAATGCAGTGGTTGCCTCTAATTTCAAATGGCTAGATATTTTTGTTTAAAGCCAGTTTGTTTGTTATAAAGCAAATTGCCAATAAATAAATTTGCTTAAAAATCAGTATCAGTATCAGAATTCAATTTGCTAGTTAAAAAAAGAAAGAAAAGAAAATCTGAATTCTGAATCAGCTATGATCGGCGCATCACTAATTAAAATTTAAAATGTGATATTTAGTCCCTGGAATGTGAATTTTACTGGAAGATCTCCGCCGAAAAACATGTATTTTACCCCCGGAATGCGATTTTACAGGGGAACCCCCCTCCAAACACGATTGGACTAGTTTTATTGCGAAAACCTGGCAACCCTGTTCATAGGCGCCACCTGCTGTCAGAGAGAGCTTTTCATTCAGACCTGCTGTTTTTGTTTCATGCAGATGTTTTAAGTAGCAAATAAATAAATAACACCTAAAGTCAGACCATTCTGTTTTTGTTTTAAATCCTGAAATTAATCTAAATCAAATCAAAAACAACTGCCCGTGCAGATCATGATTAAAATGCAGTGGTTGCCTCTAATTTCAAATGGCTAGATATTTTTGTTTAAAGCCAGTTTGTTTGTTATAAAGCAAATTGCCAATAAATAAATTTGCTTAAAAATCAGTATCAGTATCAGAATTCAATTTGCTAGTTAAAAAAAGAAAGAAAAGAAAATCTGAATTCTGAATCAGCTATGATCGGCGCATCACTAATTAAAATACTAAGTAAAAGGCCTCAAATTTGAAGTACAATCTGGGATGTCTTTTTCTATCAATTTTTCAATAGGTAGATCTTGTCTTTCATAAAGGCCGAGGTCAGGGATCTTGGGCCTAAAAAGGTTGGTGACCACTGCCCTAGGCATTTCTTGACCTTATTTAGGCCAGTTTCAGCCACTTTCATCTCAGTTTAAACATCTGCAATTAATTCAGCTGTCAACACCCTTATAATCTGTAATTATTTGTTTTCTCTTTTTTTTGTTTACTGGAAACAGCAGCTGCTGTAAACTGAAGATATTTCACTCTGAATCCTCCCCTTACCAGTAAGTTCTTACATTTAAGTTCTATCTATGGAAATTCAAAGCTGAATTTTCAGCATCATTACTCTAGGCTTCAGTGTCACACGATCCTTCAGAAATCATTCTAATATGCTAATTTGGTGCTCAAGAAAAACAATCTTTTTATTATCAAATTTAAAAACAGTTTTTTTTAATTTTGGAAAACAGCATTTATAATGTTACAAAAGATTTATATTTCAAATAAATGCTGTTCTTGTGAA